ACCTTTTTGACCCTTTGAATGTGATTTTGGCCTCCATTTCACTGAAAAATGTCTCAATGTCTCCAAATTGATGATGGACTATGTGACTTCTTCATCCTTCGATCTCCATCGTGAACCGTCTGATTGGTCTGAAACTTAACTATGTTGGTTACTTGTCATTCTCTCGTGGCCCACCATTTGGACTGATCGTCCATCCACTATAGCTCCATGTCGCCAGCCTGTCCATTAAGTTTTTAATGGTGAGGTACTAAAATGAAACAAAAACTAAACATTAGGTATGATTTTGAAAAATTGAAAGTTTAGGTACTAAAATGGACCAAAATTGATAGTTTAGGTATTAAACGTGTAATTTACCCTATTATTTTAGTGAATATCTTCTCATTTTCTATTGTTAATTTAAACCGTCTATTTCCACTTATTTAATAGTCCTAAATTTACTGTAAAACTTTTTATTTTTACACTGTGTAATTGAGTGCTATCTATACGTGTTTGTGTGCGTTAGGTTCCACTTACACAATATAAATTTTTTTAAGTTTTATACAGATTTAAGATGGTTGGATGAGTTGAAATAGTATGACGAGATTAACTCATTTTTCAGTTAATATCTTCTTATTTCTTACTATTAATCTCAACAGTATATTTTTATTCATCTAATAATCTTTTTCATAGAAATCCGCTAATTTTATTAAAAATATAAAATATCCAGGAATAAAATGAAGATTTGCAAGCATAACAGTAAACATAAACTAAATTATAATAAAGATATTTTCTTATATCTCTTGACACAAAAACTAGCCACCTAGATCACACAAAGATCCAATAAGGAAAAGGTTAAGAAACCTAACCCAAATGCTTGAATAAATCTGATTACCGACAAACGAACAACAAAATGAGATGAAGCTATTAAAAGACTACCGATAAATCGTAAATCAGAGTCAAACGATGTGAGAAAACTATCCACGAACCCAAAACGAGTATCCAAATCAATTCGATGATCCAAAGCAGGAAAAATCATATGATAACAAATAAGCAATGTCAAAACCACCCTAAGAAAAAAATATAAACGAAAATAACGACCAAACAACCGAAAACTACCAAAAGGCTAAAGAAAAAATGTGTCATAAAGACAAAGATAAACATATTAAAAGACAGAGATAAACGTGTCACAAAAATATAATTATTTTTATTAAAAAAATAACTGACGGTACAAAACTAGTGACTTAGCCAACCCAATCAAAAAAAAGGAGGCGTGGGTGGTGGGGTGGGGGGGGGTAGAAGAGGAGGGAGCGAGCAGGTATTCATCCAATAATCGTTATTGTACGCAAAACAAATATATATATATATATATATATATATATATATATATATATGTATAATTAAATAATATCCACATATAATTAGGGATGGTAGATATTGCATTGCGTTTTGTTTGAGACGGGACAACATCAATCCCATTTCCGAATTAAACTCTCTAACTGATATTTTCAATGACTTGGCTACGTGTCCTTTTGGCTAAGGCTGGGCCATGAAGAAGTAGTTATGTGTGGACTTTTCGTAATAATTATATTTAATTTAATATTCATTTAAAAGACTATATTGGAATTAATTCATTAAGATAAGATTTGACATTGCAGTTGTTAGTTCCACTCCAAAACTTTCTTACTCTGTTTTAGACTTTTTTATCATTTTTAGTTTGAAAATTATCTTATTATAATGAATATGTTTTAGCCCAATAATTTTGGAGATGAAACAATTTGGTTTCTATAAAAAAACCAGAATTCTATTAAGAAAACTCCAAAAAATTAAAAACATTGAAAACTGAATGAGATTATATTTATCAATGATTTTTGGATGCATTATTTTTTATAATTTTTAATATTTTATCTATTAATTAATTAATTAATTCAAATTAATTATTATACAATTTTATTATAAGATAACTGTTCAAATCTAATTTATTTTACTCACCATATTAAAATTTGGACCTTGACCTTATTTGAAAAATATAAGGTCTTATCCGCTAAATCAACTAATAATTGATTGGACATATTTTTTTTTAAACAGCTTAGGGTGAATTGTACGAGGGTAAAATATTGATGAGAGTATAAAAAGTCAAGGAATTCATGGGAAGAAAGAATTGTCGGGTCAAAACCCATCGGATAAGGGTGAAATTCCCATCCCTAAATAAACATTTAAATATCCTATAGTTACTGGTGCTCAAACCTAAGACCTCTAGAATCATTCCTTAACCACTGAGGCAACTTAGTTCGTACTGAATTAATTATAAGTTAATTAAGCAGAATAAGACATTATGTTTCTCAAATAAGATTAGAGTTTAAATTCTAACGTTGTGAGTGGAGAAAATTAAGTTGAAAGAATCATCCTACAAAAGATATTAAGGATTTGATATTAGTGTAATAATTTATTTAAAAAAAATGAAATGTGATAAAACATAGGGGGTGAGAAAAACTCGATCCAATTCGAAAAATTAATTTTTTTTTAAATTTTGAGTTATTTGAGTCGATCAATTCGGTTTTTGAGTTTGAGTTGAGTTGAAATTTTGAAATTTATAGTTACTCAAAAAAAATGAAAATTTGACTAAGTATTTTGACAGTTTAATGATTTAGTCCATGATTTCATTATTCCTTCATTATTGTAAGTCTATTTTTACAAAATTTGAACCACATACTCTTAAACCATAATAGAATATATATGTACTTTCAATTCATCTTTTTGATAACAATTTTTCTATTTTTCAAATTTTCCTCAAATTTTCATAATTTCCTTATTTCTTCAATTCATCATTTATTTGAAACTCTTTTTTTACCAAATTTAAACCACATGTTCATATACCACAATAGAATACCCATGTAACTTCAATTCTTACTTTTACTAAAATGTATTATTATTTTTATTTAGTCCCTTCACTTTGCATTTTACTCAATTTGGTCTTTTGAATACAATTGTTTGCAAATTATTTCTTCCCATCAATTCCTTAACTTTTTTATACTATCATCAATATTTTACCCTAAAAAATTGGGTTGGGTCATAGTCAAGTGAAAGATATATATTTTCAGGTCGGGTCGGGTGGAGGGTTTATATTTTCGAGTCGGGTCAGATTAACCAAAAACCCGACACTAACCCGACTCGTTGACATCCCTACGTTTATTGTTAAATAATTGAGAATCTTTAGAACAAATATTACTACTTGTAAGCACCTTAAATTAATAAAAAGAAAGAAAAACGCATAATTGATTCAAGCCGCTATTTTTAAATATTATATATTATGACATTTCAATTTTTCAAAATATTTTTTCCTTTATCAAACACTTAATATTTTTCTCGGGTAAGTTACACCATTCCTCACTAAACTTTACTCTCTCTCATACTTTACTCATTGTACTTTCAATTTTTCTAATTTACTCAATGAACATTATACATTGAATTTTTTTATCATTCATTGGTGACATGAATTATTTTATTATCTTTTCATATGACATGCTATATTTTTATTATCATTCTAATATTATTAAGGATTATAATAAAAACTAAATTTAAAAATATTAAAATATACTTCCAACCCTAAAATTAAAATTCTCACCCTAATGGTCCATTGGCCTCTGATTTCCATATAAAGGACACGACGAGCATAAATACCCTCTTTAAATTCTATTCTAATGGATTGAATATCTTTTATAAGGAATCATAGAAAGATGCGACGTTTTTTTTTCAAGAAAACCCCAACGAAAAATACATATTATTCCCTCGAATTCCTACCAAGATAACAAGAAGTTCCAACAAATAAAAATCCTAATGAACCAAAAAAGGATAAAGGTAGAGGAGAAATTGCTTGTTTTTCGATACCACTAAAATTCTATCCATTTAGATTCTGATCGCCAACTCATACATACTAGATCCAGTTGCATTTTATTGGAATTGAAATAATAACAAAAAAAATCGACTTTATTTTTTTCAAAGTAACTCTCATCAACTAGTTCTATTTTGATATGAACATTTAGAAGGAATTCATCAAATTGCTTAGATATAAAATCATCTCCTTTTATATGATCCCCTATACAGATCTACTAGATATATATACTTAATTTAACAACAACGCTGGATTAGAGTTTCTAGTGGTTATGATCGCGGTGGCTGCCACAGTGGCTTACGGTGGTCGTTGAGCTCCATACTTACCAATCCAAACCATTTTGACCTCCTGAGTACGAATTCAACCTTAGTTTCATTGGAAAATGCCCCGATATTAACACATTAATATTGAAACCATTTGGTTTCTTGCTCTCCGATCTCCATTGGCCACTGTTGTATGGGGCTTAAATGGAGATATATTGGTCCCTCTATCACAATGCCACACCTCATTGTTCAGATTTGTCATTTGACTGTCGGAGCTGCACCTTTTGGAAACCTGAAGATAAAGTTCAATCGTTTCCCTTTTTTGATTTCTTTGTTATTAATTCCTTGTTTTTTAAAAAAAATTGGCGTTGAATACTTTATTCAGTTCATGTAATTTTTCCCCTTTGTTGGTTGCCATCGTTTGTTGTGCTTAGGGTTTGGATATGGTTTTAAGGAGTGTCATGTTTGTGTTGATTGGTTTGATTGAGGGTTGTTAGGGACGAAGAAGAGAGTGAGAGGCAGAGGTGAGCTTGACCGTTTTTCGGTGGGAGGGTGAACTTGTCAAGGGAGAGAGTGGTGAGGTTGTAATTTAGGGTATAGGGCATGATATATAATTTGAGAATTTAGGTATAATTTAAGGGTATAATTTATAATTTATTTTTATTTTAATCATACGTGGTATTAAAATATGACATGCCATGTAAAAAATAATAAAATAATCCACATCATCTTATAGTGATAAAATAATTCAATGTATAAAGTTTAATAAGTAATTTAAAAAAATTGAAAGTACAGTAAGTAAAATTCAATAAGGAATGTTATAATTTATTCCCGTGAAATGCCTACTTTTTCCAAGCAATTTGTTTCCCTTGTCATTGAATAAAGCCAAAAGAAAATGTAAAGGCATAAACCTAACGAAGCTAATTAAAGAATTTGGAATGGTGAATGAAAAAAACAGCAAATAGGCAAAAGTCTAAAAATGAGAAGTGTTTGAACAAATGATGTCATGTTCCATAGTACATGATCTTATTTTTCTACTATAAAAAAACACCCTGTGTATCCCAAAAATAAAATAAAAAAACAAACAAACACCAAACATCATCTCTTTCCTCAAAGAATCCATCTCTCCCTCATTTCTTTACCTATACCTTTAGATGGAATACAGAGAAGTAGCAATTCCTCCTTCATCCTCTCCTCAATCTCTTTCGCCAAAGTCTTCGAGTTCATTTTCTTCTCCTCCGCCTATCCCACCATCGGTTGTTATTAGTCCTTGTGCCGCCTGCAAGATTTTGAGGCGCAGATGTGCTGATAAATGTGTGTTGGCACCTTATTTTCCTCCAAACGAACCCACCAAGTTCACCATTGCTCATCGAGTCTTTGGTGCTAGCAACATTATCAAGTTCTTGCAGGTATACTTTCTTGTTTTTTTGTTTATTCTTCCTGCAAATTCACTCATATTCCTTTCTAAAACCGGAGTGTGGAATGGTGAAAGAGCAGCTTCGGGTTAAAATACTAAAAGAAATAAGGTCAAAAAAATATGTTTAATGTTTGATTTAATATTCATTCTAATCTTCATTTATTTTAGTATTTTAACCTTCTTCTATAGATGAAAATTGTTAGACAACAAACGATTAAGGTTTTTTACTTTAAAATGAAATATTAGGGCCAACATACTTAAGAAAAAAAAGAATAGCCCAAAATAATTATTTAATCAAATGTTAAGACACATTTTATCTTAAAATGAAACTTTAGAGTCAAAATATTTAAAAAATAAAAATAATAAAGACTAAAATACTATTTAATTAAATATTTTTAAAATTTTATATCAAAAAATGTGTTAACAATGGGGTTAGAACCCTTTGTTCTGGGTTTAAAATTACAACCCCTTGTTCTGGGGTACATTTTAAACAACATTTTATAATTCTTGGTATTCACTCCTTTTTTTATGTTAATGGTAAGAGAGTGTAGCTCTCACATTCGATTGACATAGTCAAAGACAATGCATGTGGAAAGGACCCTATTTTCTGTATAAAAAAGTTGACACTTCCTAAATATGTCAACAAATGTACTTATCCAATACACTTGCGTTTCCCATATGCAAATGAGGGAATTGACCGCCCCCGTTACTAATATATGATCTGATATGCTAAAATAAGGGCTTTGGTGCTAAAATAAGGGCTTTGGCTTTGAAATTTTGCAGGAACTTCCAGAAACTGAAAGGGCCGATGCAGTAAGCAGCATGGTGTACGAGGCTAGTGCAAGAATCCGAGACCCGGTCTATGGTTGCGCCGGCGCAATCTGTCAGCTGCAAAAGCAAGTCAATGAGCTTCAAGCACAATTAGCCAAAGCTCAAGCCGAAGTGGTCAACATGAAGTTGCAGCAAGCGAACCTTGTGGCCATACTTTGCATGGAAGTGGCACAGTCTCAGCCGTCTCCTCAACAAACACCCCACCAATCCGTCGATAATTTCATCGGAAACAGCCCGCAGAGCTATGACAGCAACCCGAGTTTCTTGGAAGACAACCACTTAGAGTCATTATGGGAGACTCAGCCTCTCTGGACATGAAGATTGATGCTTAAATATGAAGAATGAAGCTTTATTAGAATATACTATAAGATCCCATGAAATGAAACTCTCCCGACTCTAAATCAATGGCTCCAAAGGAGAAGTGGAGGAGATTATATTATTAATAACTTAGCAATAGCTGAAAGTTTAGGATCTAATCGTTTTGATAGATGAAGCAGATATGTCTTTTTCCTCCATCTAATTTACCCCATGTATGTTGAGAAAGAGAAATATGTACTCCATTTATTTTTTCTTTTCTAAACTTTATAATTTTGTTCTAATTATTGATTTTTTTCCAACTTTAGGCCACCTACTATGATTACTTAATTTTTATGCTTTAGTGTGCTAGACTTACTAGCTTTTGACCGTATGAGCACATACTTGGTCTAATTTTGATTCGGGATTCACAACAACTATTTCTAATAACTTCATTCATTTTGAATTATGATTTTAAATTAATTATTATTTATGTTCGTGTTTGAGAATGAATTGAATTTTAACTCAATTTCTATTTTTAATTTTGATCACGTTTAAATTTTTATATCTATCGCCGATCAAAAAGTGAACTTGGAATCTCAACAAAATAATATTTAAGATTTCATAAATTAATTTTGAAATTTGATGAAAATTCCATTTATCTAATAATTTGAAAAATATTCCCTTATCATTATTAGTTGATTTGATTTTTATTTTAAATTCAAATGAAAAACTTCAATTTTTTTTGAAAGTTGATGCTTATGAGATTTTGATTTTAGTTTATATTTCTTATAAAATTACTATATAAAATAATATGTTATAAAAATAATATATAAAACTAATATATTTTTATTATAGATAATATTTTATTTTATAAATAAATTATGAATAGATTTATATAATTATATTATAAATATTATAAAAGTATATCACTAAATAAATCAAATTAACTTCAAATAAAGTTTAACATATACAATATTTTCATTAAAATAATGACACGATCTTACTTTGACTTAATGGTTAAGTGTTAAAGCCTTTTCTTCTAGAGATCTTAGTTTCAAATATCTTCGAGTGTGATTATTTATTTATATCAAAACGACGTCGTTTTATGTATCAAAACAACATGACCAAACCAACACTGTTTCAGTCTAAAAAATGTCATCCACATCATCACATTGTTATTGAGTTAATGACCAATGATAAAATGATATGATTAAAACGAAAGTTCAATGCTTTAGTTGAAGTAATTAAAAGTTTAATGATATAAATAATATAACACTTAAAATTCAGTGATAATTGGTGTAATTAGTATATATATATATATATATATATATATATATATATATAGAAAGGTCAAAGTTGTTCCAAAAGAAAAGTATGAAACCAATAGTTTCCATATGTACTACAAATATATTATTATGACAATAACTTTCCGTTTTGTCATTGTATGTCCGGTTGAAACCTTGAAGAATATTGAAAACAAAAACAATGGGATGTTGGATCTCTTGTAAGATTAGATCTTTGTAAAATACTTCTACTTAGACAACGTACAATCGAGGGTACCGATTTTGGATGTTGTGGGGGGTGCTTACCCTTCCCCACACGTAACCGACTCCCGAATCCTTAAAAAATGAATTTCTGGTTAACACACAGATCAATTTTTATCTTAAAAATGATTTTTCTTAAAATTGTTTGAAAAGACATTTTTTTGTAGTCAACCTACCTATCCCAAAGTGTTGAAAATATTTTGATATTTCGATATAACAAATTAAGTTAAATGAATTTTAAGATTTTCCAAAAGATTTTTCTAAGTATATTCGATATAATTATTCGAATATCAAAATATTACTCCAAATCTTTCAAAATGTCATTTTTAATCCTTACTCAAGTGTAAAATTAAGTTTTAATCTTAAAATAATTTCAAAACAATTTTACAAAATATTTCGAACCATTTCAAAGCAAAAAATTCCATATTGCTCAGAGGGAACCTATTCCCCCCAAGGGGGTACCGATTTCCCCCTGAATGGTTTGGCTCCAAGAAAAACATAATGCTCGGAGGAAACCGATTCCCCCCAAGGGGGTACCGATTCCCCCTATTTAACGGTCGAAATATTTGAATTTTACACTTAGGGAATCGATTCCCCATGAGGGGGTACCGATTCCCCCCACGCTCCAAGCTGTTTTATTAATTGATTTCACACTAAAACGGCTCTATTGACTCCACTAATCATCCCCAACGTTCAGAATCATTTGAAGGTGTATTTAAACAAGCTTAGAAGCCATTGATCAAAAACAAGAAACAACAGTCAACAAGAATCAAGAGAGAATCAAAGAGAAAGCATCAAACCTCAAGTTTGAGCATTTCAACCCTATTTTTCTTTCAAGAACACTACTTGTACTCAATTGTATTCATTTTTTAGTGTTCTTTTCTTTGTTCTAGAATTGTGCAAACAATCTACCTTGTGAGGATTTCCTTGTAAGTTTGCAAACAATCTTCTCTTTGAGAAAGAGTGTTCTCAAGAATTGGGGTATATTCTTGAGGGAGTTGTAAGGTTATCTCTTTGGCCTCAAAAGAAAGAATAAATTAGTGAATTTGTTGGAAAATCCTTAGTGTGGATAGCTAAGGTAGTGGACGTAGACTTTGATTGAGAAAGTCGAACCACTATAAATCGCTGTGCAATTACTTTCAATTTTCTGCAAAAGCTTCCACAAAAATTTTAATTGCCAATTCACCCCCTCTTGGTCGATTCTGTCAATCGATTAACTCAACAATTGGCATCAGAGCCTAACTCATTTGAAGGTTTAATCGCCTCTTGAGTCGATTCAGGAAGAGTTACATCGATAATCAAAGTCATCAATGGCCTACACTTCAAACGTCAACTCCGATCTCGATTCGATGCCCGTCAACAAGCCTCTTTTCTTCAATGAGCTAACTATGCCTATTGAAAGAATATGATGATGTATTTCATTCAAGCCAGTGACATGGGAGCATGGAATGTTGTAGAAGACGGATATATCAAGCCTCTCACTCATCCAAGATTGTGGAGTGAAGGAGAGACATGAATGTTCCAGCTCAACTCCAAAGCCATCCATATCATATTTTGTGCTCTTGGACTAGATGAATATGGAAGAGTTTCATCTTGTACAACTGCCAAAGAAATATGGGATAAACTACAAGTCACTCATGAAGGCACCGATGAGGTAAAAGAATCTAAAATTAGTCTTCTAACACATAGATATGAAAATTTCAGGATGAAACCAAATGAAGATTTCAAAGCTAAGATAGATTCTCAACAATTGTCAATGGTCTCAAATCATATGGAGAGATCATTCCAAACGAAAAGCTTGTGAGGAAGTTAGTTTACTCACTTCCAAAATCATGGCAATCCAAGAAGACTGCAATCATCGAGGCTAAGAACCTAAAGTCCTTAACTCTTGAAGAGCTAATTGGTTCCCTCCTTACTCATGAAATGATGCTTGAAGATGAGGTGGACCTCGATAAGATTGACGAGACACCAAAGGAGAAGGAGAAGAAGAAAAACATTGGAGTTGCTCTCAAATCCACAAAAGATTAGAGTGATTCAAATGAAGATGACGATGACGAGGAAATGGCATTGTTTGCCAAACGGTTCAGAAAAATGATGAGACCTTACCGAGGAAGAAAATTCAAACGAAATGAAGGCCTCAAAAATGAACCAAAAGAGAAGGACCTATCATTTGCTATGAATGCAAAAAGCCGGGGAATGCCAAATATGATTGCCCACAATTGAAAAGAAAGGGTTAATCAAAGAATAAGCACAAGGCTCATGTGGCTACATGGAGCGATGAAGAGGGTTCTGATGAAGAGGAACAAGAAGTATCAAACTTGTGCTTGATGGCATTCGGGGAAGATTCTAAGGTAACCTCTAACTCATCTGAATTTGATGATTTATCTTACGATGAGCTATTAAAGGAATATAATGGGTTGGCTTCGGATTATGAGAAATTATTTTTAAAATATAAAAATGATGTTTCAAAATTAAAAAATGAAAATAAACTCATATCCAAAACCAACAACGATCTTGAAAGTAAAATCAAAGATTTGCAAATCAAACTAGAAGAGTTTGAAAAGAAAAATTTGGATTTGCAAAATTTACTTTCAAAGGTAAATGATGATCATCAAAAGAAAATTGATGATCTTAAAACCTCTTTTGATAAAGTTGAACAAAACGTTTTGAAAATGGAGAAAATTCAAAATCCAACTTTGTTAGAAATTTTTTTAAAAACTACAATCATAGAGGTCCCTGAAGAACCTCTAATGGAAAAATCGTTAGAAGTATATGGGTTCCTAAAGAGCTCATTACTACTAAAGATAAGGATATCCTACACAAATGGATACCTAAGGGGACTAGGATTTTGGAAACTAATGAATATGGACCCAAAATAATTTGGGTACCAAAAATTAAAAATTAATCTATGTTTGTAGGAAAAGGAGCATTGTTATAAGGCATGGGAAACAAATTCAAATTCATGGTACCTTAATAGTGGATGCTCGAGACACATGACCGGAGATAAAAGCCGGTTCATGGAGCTTAACGCCAAAAATGGAGGAGAAGTGACTTTTGGTGATAATTCAAAAGGTTACATCGAAGGTATAAGTACAATAGGTAATACCTCTTCCATACAAATTATAAATATTTCATATGTGAATGGATTAAAGCATAATCTTTTGAGCATTAGTCAATTTTGTGATAAGGGATTCAATGTCATGTTTGAAACTAATGGTTGTAAAGTCATTGACATTGCATCTAATCGGATTATGCTTTTTGGTCATAGAATAGGAAACATTTACATGGTGCATTTAGACTCTATAGATATGACTAATTTATGCCTAGTTGCTAAGGATGAGAATGATAGTTGGTTATGGCATAGGAGACTAGGTCATGCTAGCATGAGTGTTTTGCAACGGTTAATTCAAGGAGATTTAGTTCGAGGACTGCCTAAACTAAAATTTGATAATGATAAAATCTGTGATGCTTGTGCTAAAGGAAAACAAAAGCGATTTTCTTTTAAATCCATTAATGATGTATCAACTAGTAGAGCATTGCAATTGATCCATTTAGATCTTTTTGG